TATTACCTTTCGTTTTTCTATTTAAACCGATGAAATTTTCTTTTCATGTAAATCTATTTGGTTCACAATTATTATTTACCTATTCTATTTTTTTCTTTACATACAAAACCATCTCTTCACTTTCTTTTCTTATTTATCATCTTACAAGAAATGATCCATTTGTTGTACGTCAAAATAAAAGAGCTGAAATACACACTTCAATATATTCAATAATTTAATTGTATTATTGTGTTAAATATATCGAAACACGCATAAAATAACTGCTAATCTTAGCAATCTTTTCTTTTGAATTATTCAATAGTTTGTTGATAATGTTTTTATAATATCAAATATTCTTATTATCCGTTTCAGATTAATTTTCAAGTGACAGTCGTATTAATTCTATCTTTATCTGAACATACTTACTAACGAATTGTTTAAAAATAATTGAACTAGACAAATTTATAATCATTACTTAGTCTTTGCTGGTAATGTACTTATATCTTAAACCTGCTGTTTCTATGTACATTAACATGATTGTTTTAGGTATTCGCATAAAATTTATTGTATGAAATGAATTTCCACTTAGAAAATGATAATTCATTAATTGATACATCAATTTTACCAAATGATATATTTACACGTATAGATGATGATTTTTTTTCTATTGTTAAAATATTAGCTGGTGATTCCGTAGTAAATATTTTACGAATACAACTAATTAATTCGGCAAGAAAACTGTTTAATACATCTGATGTGTTTGCTTTTTTTCAAATCGAATCAGAACAAACAGATGCAATAAAAGCTGAATCTTGTTTTAAATCTAAAACTGGACAATATGTTGTTAAACCCTGTATTCAAACCGGTTTATCATATTTAATCAAATTATTAAAAAAAAATTAAAAGAAGAAGAATTAACACTGAATGAAAATAATACAACTCAAAATAAATATATATCTAACGAGTTCATTAACAAGCATCCGCTTTTAAAATCTTTAATTAAATGGTATCAACTAAATGACTCGGAAGACAACAACAAAGCAAATAGTTTTTTGGTGATGTTCATTGATAATTTGGTATCAAATCTTACACAATCTTCAAATCATTATAGATACAGTGAATCTATTAAAAAATTTGCCATATGCTTATATATTCTTGGTGGCAAACAATGTTATGAATTTGTTCGTTTAAATATGCCTGGTAGTATACCAAGTCTACCAACAGTTTTAGATTTAATAAATAAATCTGATATGACTTTAACTGAAGCATAATTTAGATTTAACTCACTTCAACAATTTCAATCAGGTTCTGGATTTTGTTCTGAAGATACTGCTGGTGTTATTCCTAAAGTCGAGTATGATTCGTCGACAAACTCATTCATTGGATTTACAACACCAATTGTTGATGGTATTCCGTTGACGAAACATTATTAAGCTGATACATTTGATGATTTTAAAATCCTTTATAATACTAATGAAACAGCACCATTATTGAATGTACATATGTTCCAAAGTATATCAACAGAAGATGATTCAACAAATTTTCCGAAACCATTTTTACTCTCTGCTTATGGTGTTGATAATACATTTACATCTATAGATATTTTACGCCGATGAATGTATATATTTGAACGTTGTTTAGATAAAGGTGTTCGTATTGTTGGATTTTTCACAGGTAAATTTTATACATTCTATGTTTCTCTAAAATATTTCTCGATTGTAAATAGATGCGGATAACAAATACATAAGTGCCATGCGTCTTGCCAGTAATTTCTTCGCATCGTTACCTAATTTCAAATTACAGAAACATAAACATGCATTTAAAATAGATATACCGCATGATTGGACATGGTTTTATCTTAGTAGAAATCAGCTCTTCTTGTTTTTTCAAGATCCAGTTCATATCGTTACCAAATGGCGTAACCGATTATTATCATCAACGGGAGATGTATATATAGGAAATGATAAAATTATAATCCTAAAGATCGTCAAAATTATAATTCATGTATTAAATTAATAGCAGACGATGTAATAAATCTTCTTAATGATAGTGTAGATACTAATGGAACCGTTGTTTACTTGACATTACTAAAAATGATAGTAAAAGCATACATTGATAAATCAACAAGTATTCATGAACGTAAGTCCATTTTTAACATTTAAAGGCGAAAAAAGTAAAACTCATTAATTCTTAACACTTTCTTTATATTTAGGTATTCAATCAGCATGGTGTGTGGTATTTGTGTGCCGCCTTTGGTGGTCTTGCTTAGAAAAAACATCAACTTTGAAATCATCAAAAATCAGCCAAACAACAAGCGAAAGAAAAAATAAAATTAACAAATACTTTATTACTAGACCTGCGTATATGTCTGTTGAATTGAACGCACATAATTTACTGTATCTAGTACTGTTAGTAAAACAACAACATTTACCAAAACAAACATTAATTAATATACATTTATTCAATTCACAGCCATGCGAGTCATTATTTAGAAATGCAAGATCACTAAGCAGTACATTCTCAACGGTCGTCAACTTTACCGTAAAAGATTTTATTCGACGTTCTCAAAAACTATCAATATTGAATCAATTTAAATATAATCAATTGGAAAAAGATCTATCCTTTTCCATACATCACAAACACAAACCCTAACATCCTTTGCCATCATCACACCAATTAGATGATATTGATACCTTAGATATTCAACAATTAATATCAAATGCATATGATCAAGCATTATAGCTTGTTAAAAATTCAAAAATATTAGATAAATTAAATGAACATAAAATAAATTGTTTAAATGATCTAAGGTA